GCCGGAAACAACGTTTAAAGTGGGGAATGCAGCGGTCGGCATGACGTCGTTAACAACTTTCCGGCATTGTTTTCCGTGCGAGCGACAAACTGGGCTAATTGCTTCAACTTCTGACCTATTCCAGTTAGCGGTGTGTAACTGGCTGCTTCTGTGCGGACGATTGTCCCCGGCGATGCAGCCACTCGTGGCAACAACAGCCCCGCGTAAAATTCCCTCTTGCAGCCGAGCATGTTCTCCCAGCGCGATTGTCGTCGCGACTTATTAACCTGACGATAATTAGCCGTAATCGCAATGACGTGCAACGTCGACGCGAAAGCCCAACGGGCTTACTTCGCGCTTTCTAGGAAAAAAAAGGGAGCTTGTTCGTCCCGCTGATTACGAAAGTGCGGCTTAATCATTGGGAACTCGTCGCTCGCTGTTGCAACACGGCTGGATGCTTTTGTTTTAATTTTAACCTGTACAGGATGAAAAAGCTACTACAGTGACGCTGAAACAGTGTCATATTTTGAAACAAAGAACACAATAAAATAAATAAATAATGAATTCGAACAAATCTTACTCAGGAAAAATTGTAACATTTTTAAAATAGATTCTTGTCCCTTAGAGGTTAAATAGCGAATAGATATTGAGATATCGATGAAAGTTAAAAAGGGATTCGCCAGTTATATCTAAAGTTTCGATATAACTAGCGAGTCCCTTTTTATTGTCGTAGTTATGATTTATTTTATGGTATTAATGGTAAATACCAGAGAGATTATATATTGAGAGAAGAATAAAAGTATTGAATATTTCTTCTTTATATCTTTTTTATTGTTTCGAAGCAAAAATATTCCGAAGTTTCTCTCTTAACGTTTATCGTATTAATTTAAGTTAAAGCAAATCGTTCCGGTCCGCGTGTTACGAAGTATCACTCGGTGCATCGCAAACTACGGCCGGGTTGTAAAGTTTCGCCCGTTTTTACCTTACCATAAACTATGCCGAATTAGCCTTGTTGCGGTATTCTTTGCGTCCAACGCAGAAGATATCGCTTTACTTCCGGGCGGAATAAAACTTGAACAATTCCTCCTTTTGTTCCGGGCACTCGTTTTTCTTATCCAGCCGCGAAATGAATATCCGCTTGTAGATTTTATTGCTGCACAAAGTGGGGGAATCCCGCGGGTGGACACGGGATATCGACGGTGAAGCTCCGTGTCACCTACATTCTCTTTAAAGAAGATCATTCCCGAGGCAAGTCAACAGTATTTGAGACTATGGAGAATTATATTAAGTCCCGAGACGGGATATAAACATCCGTCTAGAACAAACAGTTACGAACGGGAAGGAAGACGTGAATTACCAACATTACTTTCCGGTTTTTACTGCGTAAAACCGCTTGATGCAATAATATTTTATCATCTCAGACTATGCCGGCTCATCCTGTCCTTTGTTTCTGAACTTCTTCGTTATAAGGTCCTGCTACTTCCGTAAATATCCGGAATACGCGAAATACTTCCGAATGCAAATTCGGGAAACTCGACGTAACGTTTGCGCTGCAGTTCCTATCTAATATATGCATTTTGCCTAATGTAAGTTTAAATAAAAAATTGCACGAACCGCCATTTTTCCGTGGTTTATTCTACAATTTTTATAAGGTTTGTCGTTTATACCTTCCGCAAGATATTATATTTCATGCACTCAGAAGGCACACATATACTAGACTCTGAAATTATATTGTTCCAGAGAATATTTCAAGAAAAAAATTATACAAAAACTTAATTCGATATGGTTATACAATAACACTTTGTACAAGGAAAAGTAGAGACGTTGATCGATGAATTCCGTATTATTATAGAGAGATAATCCGACATCGTAGGAACGCGTTGTCTTAAAAAGGAGATCATAACGATTTTGGGACACATTTTCTATTATAGGCGGGCGCATTCAAGACCGTCGCCGATCTATCAGTGCAAGCGTGCATTCAACGAGAGAGCCTCGCAGGCACCTCATTTACGCGCATTTTGCATCCACTCAAGTTTCGTTTGAGCGCGGAAGATTACGCGAAATATTATTTCGCCGGTGGGCCGCGGGCGCGCGTGAATAGCGGAAGTATAAGTGAAGGGATCGCGGGGAGTCCTTAACCCGCTTTGATATACACGACGGTCGGTGGAGAGCACTTTGCTCAACCCCCACGAAGCTTCGAGCAGGGTAGAGGTGGTATGGGGACACACCGTCGTGCGCATCCACCTGCATGCGCTCCGTCGCGTACACCATCGCCGACTTTCCAACGTTTTCTACAAGGTTTGACATGTATACTCTCGCCTAACGCGACAGAATATGAGGAAGAACTTGAGAGAGAGAGAGAGAGAGAGAGAGAGAGAGAGAGAGAGAGAAGGGGGAGGGAGGGGGGGAGTGATAGGGTGAGAAAACGACGCCTCGATAATAGCAACTCGCTTCGCGCTTGACACTCCGTCTCTTCTGTCGTCGTTCCATCCACCAGCCTTTATCTTCTCTGTCGACCGCCCTTGGATTTAATTAACTCGGTCTGAGCTTCATTGAGTTATGTTAAGTCACGTTCTTCGCGTAATCTTTGTATTATACCACTCGAAACGTATTTCTGCGTAGACGTACGCGATAAGCTCGTGGAAACCGAGACTTTCCTGCACATATCTTTGTGAAAATCACTCGTATTCTCTCTCTCTCTCTCTCTCTCTCTCTCTCTTTCTCTTTCTCTTTATCTCGATACTGTTTACGGGATGGAACCGAACTATTCTAGTCTTGTACTACTTCAATCCTTCAAGGTACCGGAGATTTAAGTGATTGTGAAGAAAGAGAATTTTAAAGGCCAGATGAAGCCACATGAAAGACTTTATATTAAGGTGGAAGAACTCAAATTTATTAATTTAATATCTACAGTAATATTTAAACTTTCGATTTAGCAACAAGAATGAATTAACAAATCGAAGGCTCTAAAGCGAAGGCTCTGAAACAATTACTCTGAGGCAATCGTTTATAAAGTTACGTGCTTTTTCTCTTTATTGTGTTATGTTGTTTCTAATATTGCACTATATAAATTATGAAGGGAAAGTACTGATTAAATATTAATTGCACATTGTAGTTGCCGTGACTACGTCGCGAACAGAAGGATCTCTTCGTTACTTCTTTCAGTTCATGTATTTGTGGTGTCTTCCGCCCGCATTTCATCGTCTTCGAGGGCGCCACGGTTTTGAGAAACTTTCGCCTCTATCTTTAGAAGAGGAAGGTAAAACTTTGGAGCACCTGCTGAGACTTGCTTATGGAGTCTATTACCGCTTCGATGGAGCTGCCGGGAATCTTTATACCCTTCGACCCAGCAGACGCGAATTAGCATTCGCCGCGAGTGTCCTTAAACTTCCTAATAATTTGATGGCAGAGGCGGGCGGACGGTATGTAAATTAAGAGTTTCAATATTCGAAGCCCATTTCCGTGTCCATTCCGCTAACCTATTTCGCGAAGTTCTAGCTCGCTTCATACCCATGGCGTAGATCATACCTGTCTACGTGTCGCTTCCAGCGCAATGCGAGCATACGTCGCAGTACGAATTCCGCGTTGGGATGTGCAATTTATACTTTAGTTAAATGTAGTATTCAAAGATGAATATGCGGAACATGAAGTCGTCATAAACATGCCAAATAAACGTCGAAGTGAAAATGTCGCATACGTTCGGAATTTCATCGGAGGAATTTTCTTTTCGTGAAAATGCAATTTTTTAAATATTATTTATGTATTTTTTTTTATTTTTTATTAATTTATCGTATAGCGAATGGACATCAATGTATTCTACATTTACTACAATGTTGTTCAGAGCGATTAGCTACGCTCAGTCGAAGGCTCGGACACTAATCGGAAAAATTCCTCTGTGTCTCCTAGACAAGAGTGATAAACGAGATACGCGTGATAAACGAGAAGGGGTGGGTTCGTAAACGATGGGATAGAAAAATGCTCATCAGGTACGAAAAGTCGGTACACAGTACTGAAAATTGGCTGACATTTTTCAAGTTTTAACCGTTCGGTGACCCTACCGGAAAATTGCAATTTGCCCGAATCCTTCGTCAAACGCAAATGGCCAAACGTGTCAAAGGCTCCAACGAACATTAACGCGTTGCCCCAAACGATGTTTTCAATTTTGTGTACACACGTTATTTGTATGTACGAGAGAGAGAATGATTTACAAATTAACTATCTAACTAATGTGTAACTGAAAAGACACGACTGTCAAGTGTCACTGATGTGTGTCAATAACGCTGCGTGTGCGTTTCGCTGTAAATTGAATGATAATGAATTAACGAGAATAATCAGAAAACAAATGTTATTTTATCTTTATTGTGTAGTATTTTGGATGAGGCAGGTGTAAATTTGCTCGTTTCTTTTAAACTAGTATCGCGTGAACAACGCTCTTTCGATTTAAGCGCCGAAGTAATAGGATCTCACTCGAAATCCCTTCTTTCACGGTGGCATTACGTCCTCAGCGTCATGCATCATGCGCTATCGCATTACAAGAGACATCAGGAATTTTGCGAAAGACTCCGCCCGACGTTCCAGTTAACTGGCGCGTGCTCCAAGAGTGGATGTAATACGGCTATAAACCGTGGGTGTTCGTTTAAAAGCCTCGAAATTTCACGAATTTCGTCGCTTCCGTCGATTTAGTGGGCATTAGGTACGTCGAGCGCGAGAGACAATGTAATACTATACTCGGAATTGTTACGATGGTAGTTACTGAACGCGATAGGTTAACGAATAAGTTAACAAAAAAAAAGCAAAAAT